TACAAAACCAACTTTCGTCCCTTTTCAAAGAGAGACAGTACCCCCCCCCCCCCCAACTACATCACCTGACAAAAAACTCGCTTTTTAGTTAAGCAACGCGCATTTATTTAAGAGTCATGCACTTAACGTTGATGAAGCGGTAATTCATTCAGCATCGTAGGTGTTTTAGTTACCCTCATCGTCATAATCTAGCTCAGGGAAGAGAAATAAAATCAATGTATTGTCCGGCATGACGTTTTCCCGGATTATCCTCGTTTATTTCATTGATACCGTGGGAAAAGTACGTTCGGGATGCATTCCGGACAGACGAAAGAAATACACCCCAACAGTAGAGCATATTCAGAAAGATAATAGTGAACATAGATATCCAAAAAGAGTTAGAAAGCAGACCGATTTCTGTGGTGACCCTGTTCAATTTTGAAAAGATGAGACGTTAATGTCATATTTTTTATGGATACATTAAGATTATGTACAGTTTGCAGCTTTAAAATAATTTACCTCTTTGAATGAAATATTGTTATGTTAATCAATTAAAATATATCTTTGTAGGCTGTAACCATAATTAAAGTACATTTTATTTCAGCTTCTTCATTTATATCATTATGCCTTGCAGTCATATATTTTGTATATAAAATCATTGTTTGCCTGTGGGCCTGTCTTAGGAAACTACACCATTTTCAGAACGGATGAACATCTTGAAACGTACGAAGTTTAGATTTAGATCGCCTTGTAGGGTTTAGAGAAGAAAATGTTCTCGTGTTTAAAACTCTTATAAAAGTTGTCATCATTTAGATTATGCAAGTATATACAAATTTATTTTAAATATATTTTAAAAAATTCTGCATAACTATATCATCATGATCATAATACAGTACGAAATTATTTTTTTTATTTCACAAAAAATTTTGGAAAACATTTTTTATAGAATATAAACGGTAATGTATGCTTACCTACTAACCCATGTGAAACTGTTTGCTTCAACTTTCTTGTGCATTATATATACCGACCTTTTAGCTCATATGTTCAGCTGTTTGCTTATCTTTTTTATGCATTGTATATCATGTTTACTACCCTGTATTGAAATAGCTTTTATTATTCATATGATCCAGCTAATACTGATGAATAAATATTTTATTTGATTTTGTTGAATTATTTCCGATATACATTTTATAAAGTGTCACGCATTTGATGTACATATTCTATTTAGTGATTCCGTTCTTTTGTCCAAAGTTAGTCTTGCTTCATATTTTTTTTTAATTTAATACAATGTAAATCATCTGATGTACAATATTGATTTTATAATTGATATCACTTTGTCCTGTGTTGTTGGTCTATATTGTGATTCATTATTAATTTATTTATAGCTTTACATAGGAATGTGCCAAAGATTTATCGAATTATACTTTATGAACATTTTGTATATACATGTACTGTGATTTTGAAGATATTTTTAAAATATTTTTTTAGTTAACATGGCATGTTTACAAGACCTGTTTTTGAATAAATGTTTAAATGATATACTCTATTTTGTATCCTTCATCATAACTGAAAGGATGTTCTTTTTGTTGAATAAAGGGGGTCTTAAAAGGTATTGACTGAAATAGCATTATGTTGATCAAAAGGGTTTATGACATTTTCATTCAAAAATAACGGAAAACACATAAAGCTGTTTGACTAACAAGGTAACTTGTTAATCTTTTTTTATATTCTGATTTAAACGGTATTGAAATTCTTATAGATTCATAGAGCAAAAAACAAAGGAGTTATCAAATCTTGAAACGTTGCTAAGAGTCATCTACCATTGCATGACTTCAGAAGCCTTCTAACTGAATGGAGTCTCCTATTTCAGAGAGAATATAAACATTTCTCTTTAAAGCCAATGCCCCTCTTAAATCTTGTAACAATGTTTCTATCGTATCAATATCCTCGATCTGAAATTTCTTATAAGATATCCAACAATCACATAAACTTTGATTTTATTTTTAGTTCATTTGACTTGAAATATTACACTTATCAAAATTACTGTCCATGGTCCATGAGTGAGCTCAACGTTTTATGAAAAAAAAAAATAGCATAAAAGATGAACTTAAAAATTCAATTTACACAAATTTTCAGTCTTGATGGTAAATTATCTATTTGCACACGTAATCGGCAAGGTGTTTAGGTGGCACGATGTACTCTGGCTCCTTCGGACACTTGGCTGCAAAATTAGAGGTTTTTCATTGTTCTTCACTGTTGGTCCTTTAATTTTGTCGTCATTACGGTTGTCTTCCTGTGAATAATCTATTTTTAGGTCGTCAGGAAGTGGTACTTCTCTCGATATTCGCAGGTCCCTGCAATTTCTACGATTTTGTGTTCCATCAATGTCAACTATGTATGAACGCGGTAAGTTGTGCTTTTGAATGCATTTTCCTAATTTTCATCTTTTATCCCCAAGTCTCGTTGGTTTTACTCAAATGCTGTCTCCTGCGCGCAGTTCAGGAAACGGTCGCGCTCCTTTTTCATAATAATGTCTAGTCTTCTTTCCATGGATCTTTGTTTGCACATGTGTAGGAATTTCTGGTTTAAGAAGCTGGTATGGTATTTTCTGTAGTACTGTCTACCATTGTTGCAGCTTTTGACAGATGTATAATAATTTTTTCTGTTTTGTTTGCACCAAGTCCTTTGAATATTTTTATTCAAGTCTTTCACTTGATTTTCCTTCTCCATATCGGCAGGTTTATTTGCACTTGGACCACCATTTGGATTCACCAATGAACGGACTCTGATTCGAAAAACAAGTGTTGGTTCAAGCAAGTGCTCTGTCAGTAAGATAAAACGGGTACACTCCACAAAGTATTTGGATAGTTCTGAGTGTGCAAAAACACAAGATAGCATCATCTTGAGAGCAATATTGACATAACAAAGTTCCCTTCTCGAATTGCCTCTTTAATGCACAATAAATTGGAAAAGTAGTGAAGGTTATGCTTGGCGTAGTTAAATAGATGATCATCTCCTTTGCTCTTGATACTGATACTAGTTAGGAAGCTTCAGCAGTAGAGGGTTTGCTAAGGATTTTACAAGTTAACAATAATTTTATCAGCAGATAATGGGATAGATGTATATGCTCCATCCACAAAATGCTTTTACTGGGCTATTCTCATTAAATGTATTTCAAACATTCAGATACGTACTAGTAATCTGTCTAATAATCTAATTGAGGAAAAATGACTTTAGAAAACCATAAAACAGTGGAACCTGTCTTATCCGACAGGCACACAAATTTTGTTTTGGGAAAAAAAAACCATGGTGACAGATTGCACAGCGTAAAAAACATTAAAGAACAAGAAATGGGAATTGAAATGAGTCATAATTTACAGTGAAACATTGCATAGGTGTCAGATTAGACAGTTTTCACTGTAGTATGTCAGTGAGTGTGATTACACTGTACATGTAATGGTTTAAATTTGCATTTTCCTAGGATGTCAGAAGCGAGATCATTAAAAGTTGACTGAAAAAAAATTAGGTCTTCAAAATGGCATTTCAATGATTTTATGTTGATATGAGAAAAGTTTAAGAAATCGGAGGTCATCACGGTCTTTAATTATTGTGTCCCTAGAAAATGGAGAAGGGTTGCAAATTTAAGAGTCCATGTGGAACGAGCAGTTAATCAAGGTGTAGTTCCAATATCACTTCATGACAAGGTGTCCAAAATAGTGTTTGTTGTGTGTGTTCTCTCTGTAATCTCGTGCCTCCACTTATTCAGTCATAGTATAATCTAATATGTATATCATAAAATGTATCTTTCAGAATATGCATCAAATACTTCATTGTTTGAAATCTACGTACGTCTTTACATTATTTATACTTCAGTATGTCGATCATGAATCATGTTCCAAAGATCATAGCAATGATGAACCAGAACGTCATTCATTTGCACTGCCATTTCTTATGTCAGAAAATCTTTTAAAATTCTTTTTTTTTTTTAAAGATTCAGAAACTATCAGTTCATGTTTACTATTATTAAAGTTTCTGTAAAAATAAAGTTTTTAAATGCATCATATCCTTGTATCTTTGCAATGACTTTTGGCCTTATGTAAAAGTTATTATTAAATTAAGAGGTATGTATGTACCTTCATTTAGAAAATAAAATAAAATACTCTATTATAAAGATATTGATCAGATGCTCACAAGTATTGCAAAATACATTATGTCAATGTTGATTATGATATGAGAGTGCGTGTACACATATCCTTAATGCACAGTTATGTCATACCTCATTAGAGACCTTTAGTGACATATGTCAGTACTCATCAAAATTTTAATTTAGGTCCCCTTTTAACTCTGACAAGAATAGATATGGGTTACCCTATATCCAAGATATTCGACTTTTAATTTATTCGAATTTTCATTGTGCTCAGATGATTTCTAATAAAAAAAAGTATTTACTGACAAAACGTCAGAGATACTTAAGCTGTAGAAAGTCAACTATACAATGGCCATAAATTTCCTAAAATGACATAATATTTAGGCTACTGAGTTTCAACATCTTTTGTTGAATAAAATATGCATGTACTAAGGAAACAAACTGCATGTACATATATGTGACCGCGACTGGGAAAAAGGGGCCAGATGCGGCAAAAACGTAACAGAGAAAAAACGTCATAAAGTCCACGTATTTTCTAGAAAACGCGTTTTTTTTTTTTTCGTTTTGTAAAAAAAATATCTGATCTTTTCCTTTTGATCTTTGGTAATTTAGTAATAGAAATACGTTTCTTTATAGTGTAATTCGTATATCATTCTCAATTTACATAATATCAACGATTATTTTGTCTCATTTATCATATATCAGGTAGGTAAACAATCGGGCTCGACATACGCATACGATATGTGTCGTCAACAATGAACAGAGGAGAGCAAAACTTGACTTAATCTTCATTCTTGTCGGAAATTAGCACGTTTAAAGTGATGTTGGTGAAATAATCATAGTCAGGGAAGTCCCTGTTCCATCTAAATTAAGCGATTATCATGTTGAAGAGTTTGTAAATGAACTACATTTAGTTGACTGATGTTGAAAGTGAAAGTACAACAGTAAACCTCCGATTATGAATAGGTAGTTTACAGTTACTTAAAAGTAAATCTAATTATATTGAATAGGCTTAATTTAGAAACGAAACTTGTAGTTGTACTAAATTTAATGACAAACCGTGTAATGTCACGGTTGACTGATGATGAAATGTTTGAATATCGAAAATACGTTGTCTCGAGAAGAACTGGACAAGATGTAATCAAATCTGAACGATTTGCTCATAGAAGATCGGGCTTACACACAGAAGCAAGAACCACAAGATTTATAAAGAAAGACAATTTGAGGAATTCTGTCAAGGCATATATTTAGGAAAACATTTTGGTTTTTACATTGTATTGAGAAGAAATGTTAGCGATAGCAAATATTTAGATGTGGATGGTTCCATTCCACGTGTTCATGGTAGAGTTGGTAAACCTCCATCGCCTAGTTTGTCCTACACAGAGAATGCAAAAAAAAAAATATTGTCATGCTAGAGAAAATGCTCCACCATTTCTAGGAAGGTTAGCTAACCTCTGTCCCCACAAAATAATCTCATAGATCTATGTCAGAAGAGTCAAGAGTTTTCAAACCTACTTGCAAAAAGTGGAAGTTTGTTAATGGAAGGGAAAACCAGTGTACTGTACTTGAGGTATACAATGCACACATTCAGCTAGCCGACGAACAGAGGGGCCGATATAGACTGCAGTGTACAAAAAGCAAAGAGAAATACATGCATTCTTTATTAAACAAGGAAATGAAAAGACAAGGTACTTTTATATATTTCAAATAATAATTATTTTATGAATTTTAACAGCAGTAAATATACTTAAAAGAGATGTTCAATTAACATGATTTAGGTACTAAGCTTGAAATTCAAAGAAATCTATAATTATTTACTTTGGAGTTAAAAATTAAAAATTATCATGATTATAAACATGCTTTTTGTCATATCAAAGCATTATTGTGTATTAAATTAGACAACATTTCAAGTCTTTTTTTTTAATTAGACATAACACAAATATATTGTAAATTTATTAATATCTGGACAGTGTCTATGAACATTGTGACACTCAAGATATTATATACTGGAGCAGTAAAATTTCTCCATTTTAGGTATAATCATTATGTCTGTGGAAGTTCCATTATTCTTGGGATTTATGCCCAGCAACACATACCAATCATGCCCAGCATGTGGGACCTCCTTACTTTACTTCAGGACACCTAGGGAATGTTGTGTTTTTTGGCATGTGCTCTGAAAGTTCAGCATGTTTAGGTTAGTTTTTTTTTTTCAATATTGTCTGTGAAGAGGATCTAAAAATTGAATGGTGCCAATAATAGATAAAAATGTCAAGTTTAAAATGTTGCAAAATAAATAATTATTGGTAATTGCTGAAATACTGATACAGTTTTGAACATTGACAAAATATTATTTAGTAAAAGTCGTGACAACAGACAAAAGTTAACTTGCTGACTTTTTATCAATAAAATACTTTCAAGTCATTTCATGAACTTGATTATTTTATTAGGAAAGAAGATATTTTAATTGGTGGAAGAAGGAGAGACAAATTGCAAGGGAGCAAACAGTATAATAGTTAATATGGAACATTACTATTTCGCGTACTATGTCTATGGTGAAGAAGGAGATTTCACTTGGACAACTGCAGTAAAGAAACAACACAGCTCTGTAGTATAAATTATGGAGATTTTTGACAGGTACTGTTTGATTTTTTAAAAATAAAAACTGGTTGTACATGTACTTGTTTCAAAAAAATTAAACAGTCAAACCGGATTATTTCGAACTCTATGGGACTGAGAAAAAAACTTCAAGATATCCAAGAGTTTGAGATCGATGTTCAAGATGCCAAAGTTAAAATATACATGTATTAATTGCTTTGTAGAGAAACTGTTTTAGTAGAACTAATTTTCTTTAAGACTTAAAGATCTTGTGCTTAGAAAATTGTGATAGCTTTTATAGTGAGATGGTATATTGTATGACAAACTTTTCATATCATTCCTTTAAAGTACATTATAAATACTAGCTGCAAATCTGTAGCTCACTGGTCTGAAAAAATTGGGATGGACAACCAGAAAGCTACAGTGCCACCCATTGAAAAAAGTGTATATTTATTGGGCACAAAAAAGTGTGCTGTTTTTCAATTTCTCAAATTTTACTAACCGTGTGTTCCTAGCATATTCTGTTACTTCTTCCACATCAAAACATTTCCACAAACCATTGTTTATAGCTCTACTGGGCCTGAAATTGAGACCATCGAAAATTTTGCCTATTTATACTGTCATTTTGGGTGGCAAGACAATTCAGTCCACAGCGCTTCGTGCATGACTTGTACATGCAGTTTTGCTGTGAAAGAGTAATCGAATATGTTAGGAACACACGGTGAGTAATATATAGAAATATACAATGTACGGAGAAATAATCGGAATTTTTTCAGACCAGTGAGCTACATATCTGCAGCTATATTATTACTTAACAGTGATGATTATTTTTTCTGCAAAAAATGAAAAATTGAACACTACTATTCAAATATATTATTGTTCAATTTAGGTCTGCATAAACAGATACAGCTTTCAACAATGATTAATTGCTGGCCATACCAAGTTTGAACCTGACTGGCACTTTGGAACATAGAAGTTAAAGTGGAGAAACTCAAATACAGTGTATCTAAATTTTAGTAGAGGTAAATTAATAGATGCTGATAATGAATTGGTACTTTAATGTTGTCAAAGTCATCCTTTCAGTGTTGTAGAATTGTTTTTTGAATATTGATTGGAAGAAACACTTTTTTATTTTTCTCCAGATAGCAGAGTCTGTTCATAAGTCAAGTAAGCATGGACGCAACGTTCACCATATTGTTCAGGACCAGAAGAAGCCAGTGGTGTTTTACAATTGGAAAACACCAGTGACAACTCTTCAGAATTTTTTCCAGACCTTTGAAACTTTTAACCGAGCGAACGGTGCTCATACCTGTGCTTGCAAGACCAAATAGACTAGGTTTACACACGTGCGAAGATCCTTTCCGACGAGCTCGGCAAATCACGTTGCTTTGCCGAGAAGTTACGATTGCAGGTGTTTAACCATAATAACCATTCCGTTATTTAAAAAAAGAAAAAACACACACACACAGAGTTAATGATTAACATTCTCACTCAAAAGAAAATATACGGCAATTAACGAACAATAATCATGACAGTTATATAATTGGTGAAAAGATTTATCACTATCAATCGAATATATTTTATCGAAGGATGACCTATATATTTTCGTGAAAAAGACTGAGGAGGCAGCGAGCGTAGGAATACGAAAACTTTTTATTTTCTTTTCTGGGGGAAAGGTGATTTTCTTAAAATCTTTTTACGTTAATTTTTTCTTTAACGTATTAAATATACATCATTATTCTTAACATTTGTTGTAATGTTGCATTTACTGATCATGAATGGAACTATTTTCTTCGGAGCAATTGTGTGAAGAGTACCTGACTTTAGTAATATATTTTGAATAGATAATATGCACTGATCGAATATATTAAAAAAAAAGCTGAGGTAACACTGCAGACAATAAAAAAAATTCAGTTTTGGAAGCATTTCATTTTCCCAAAGTTCCCCATCATATAAAATTGTTTCAAATTCGAGACCTTTATTTGTCCTTGTGACACGACTTTGGTGTTTTTGTATAGAAATTGACTGTGCTGTAACTGTGATACAGTACACTTTTGAGGGGCGTGTATTATGGAAATGAAGACGAAAGTGTTCTGTATCTGCAAAATATCTCTGATGCAGCACGAACAATGTTTGGATGACTGCCAACATCTCGCGGAAATTTTAAGGAAAGAGACCTGTGTAAATTTTTAAATGTTTAATGCAGCTATTTGGCAAAAAATTCAACAGAATCTGAAGTAACATCAATTTTTCAAACATTTTTTTAGTCAATGTGAAAAAAATACACTGTAAAAAATCGGCTTAATTGCCAATTCTAAAATTAAAGCTACAGTTAGCAAAAACTGCCTTGTTTGAATTGGTAAGGTCTTGCAGAACACGGAATTCATCAATTTTCCTCTGACACACTTTCACATTTCACCTTCTTTCTTGGGGGCTCAACACCATTTTCCGATTTTACGCAAACGGACTTGTTCTGGGGTGGATCCAAAATTTTTGACACTGCAACATCAATCTGTTCACTACTACGCTTATACTTTCTTACACTTTTCTCGGATCGATGCCCTGTGCGTCGCATGATTTCTTGCTCTGAAACTCCACTTATATACAACTGCGTGGCGCAGGTACGTTTACCACTATGGTTACTAAAATTTCCTTTCAGTTCACCCTTTTCAGCGATTGTTTTCAGAAATGTTTCAGCTTATTTACTCCAACCAACTGTTGACCGAATCTTATCTGAACTTCGTCGGTGGGAGGTAAAATGCACCGGTATTCCCCAGAGACTCTAAGTACAGCTCAAAGTAGTCAACCATACAACGATCACCTTCAATAAATAAAACCGAATTAACTGCATTATAGTAGATACGTGTATTTTTTGTATGTGTGGATGTAAAAAAAAAAGGGGGGGGGGAGGGGGGTTAAATCAACTACAACTCTAAATATAATTATCAATTAATTTGCATTAATCTTGACCAAACATTATTACGTCTCAAATACAAATACACATACAGTAAATAAATACATGTACTTACCAGGCGGAGAATGATGCTTTATGTTTTTTGACTGCACATTCAAATGTCCTAAGCCGCCTTTATAGGTTTTTGTGGCCCTCCCAGTGAACTGGATGTATCGTCCAGCACTGTCCTCTCCGATTTTGAACTGCTCGCACTGTAAACTGTGATGTTCATCGTATCCTCTTAATCCCAAGAGTTTGCATGCATAAAAAAATACGGTATGGTGCAACTGCTCCTCGGTTTCTCTTCCAAACACGCTCTTTAGCCACAGCGTTTCCTCATCTTGGGGTAGAATAGGGTCCGCCTGCTTTACGTCACACCCCAGCCCTTTGTCGATAAGGGATTTCATCCTTGCGTCAACCAATTTCCGGAATTCAGCAAATTCTCCGTTAGACTCGTCGAGGAAATTCTTGTCGTATTTTCCGTTGGCCTTTAAAAATCGTAAGAGTCCGCACAAAATCAGGTAGATTGATCTGGGCGGATATTCTGTACCATCTTTCTTTCGGGCCTCCATTACGAACCGTCCTAACCAGAAACTCATCTGTTCTGAAGTCATGTGATTTAGTTCGGGAATATCCCCTCCTCTGCTGGCCCGCCATTTCTCAAACAGATTCATGGCCCATTTGGTGTTATTTTTCGTTTTAACATTTTCTTGGTCTTTTATCAAGTTCTTAATGTCATCATCACTGACCGGTTGAGCAAACCGACTTTCGTTTGAAGCAATGTCCTTACTTTCGATTTCCATCATCGAGCTGTTGCCATTGCCAGGGGATAGGGAGAGGTCCAGCAATCCCTCATATGCAGCATTTTCGAATTCTATCGTCTCACATACTTGCGATAATGTAATGTCATCGATTTCGTTGATAAGGAATCCATCAAAAGACGGCAAGTCTAGCAAGTCAAAATTGCTGCCCAGATCAAACTCTCCAAACGCGTCCACATGTTCCATCGCGCTGCTAAAATTTCCGCGCTCTCTAAACTTTTCTTTATATATTCCACAATGAAGTAATCTGATTGGTTGAACAGTGAAATACTGTTACCTGATTGGTATGTTCAATCGAGGGAGCATTTTAAAACACAAACTCCATGTAGGGGTCGTGTCACAAGTCATTTAGAGTACTCGTTTCCTACTGTATCAGAGATACAGGGCGGGGCGCGGCTCGAGCTATCGCTCTCGCCTTAAGCCCCGCCCTGTATCTCTGATACAGTAGAAAACTCGTACTCTAAATATAACATATAATAAAGTGACACCACTTTCTTTGACTAATAGCCATTTCTCCTTGTACCTGGTAATAATATGCATGATTCCTCTTCAATCGTAAATTTCCAATTCATCTAAGATACAAAAAATTGATCACTTAAAAGCCCTTCTTTGGGATGCACATCTTTAAAGCTGTATGGACACTTTACTTCAATACCACCATGGTAAGGCTTGCAGTGAGGACAGTACGCTAGTCCATTAGGGCTGGCACTTAAGTGAGGAAGCGATTCCCGGACAACTAGCCCAGTCTCCTGGAATGTAAGTGGTGGATGTATCTCCCTCACTTTAAGCAGGTAGCAGTCAAAGTCAACTTTGTTTCAATAGTTGAGAAATTTTTTAGCCATCTTGCCATTGGAATTGGTTTTGTAAGCTCTTTTAAAACTTGAACAGACGGTAAAGTTAGGTCTGGATTTTTCTAGCTGAAACTGTTTTTTCCCGTCTTTGTTTTGTTGAAATCCATGTCCTGTGCCTTATTTTTGTGAAAGATTTCTGTTATGTGTTTTAATCCATTCACAAGCTTTTTAAGTTGGAGCAATTTTACCGGTGTGCTTTTTTACTGTTATATTCACAATCCCATACAATACGGCTGCAGTATGGTTGCAAGCACTTCCTTCTTTAGAAGTAAAAAAAAATTTTTTTTTTCTTTTTTATAATTATCATTATAACAACAAATTGCTAGAAGCATGTTAAATTTTATAACTGATGCAAAACG